ATTTATCATGAGAGGCAGAGGCAGCTCTCTAATTAGGCGGTTTAGGTGGCTGCCTAAGGCCTTGCGCTGGCTGGAGCCTCGCGGCCGCCTAAACCACCTGAGGGCAGACTGTGTCTCGGTCACCTCTACACAGTCTGCCCTCAGGTGGTTTAGTCTGCCCTCACCATCACACCCCTCCTTCTCACAGCACCCCTTCCCTCTCACATCACCCCCTTTCTCATAGCACCCCCTCCCTCTCACATCACCCCCCCTTCTCACATCACCCCCCTCCTCACCATCAACATCGACCCCCCTTCCTCTCACATCACCCCCCCTCAGGAGGGAAGGGAGGCAATTGCCCCCCAGGCTGTCCTAAATAATTTGAAAAACGGGCGCTGCAGGGCCGATCCTGGGTGCCAGGAGGTGGGGGACGTGCGGAGCAGGCTGTTGGCCTGTCACAGGGAGCCAAGCAGGTGGCAAACTGGCCACCTAAGGGCGCCCCCGTAGCAGGGCAGAGTAGGCACCAGCTTGTCCCAGATGGCAGGTGCCTACTCTGCAGCAATATATCGGCCAGGCGAGAATGGAGGCAGGCGGCGGCGAAGGAGCACTGCCTGTGCTGGTGATCTTCCTGTTCCCTAGTGTCAGAGAGGGTCTCTGGTGATGCCGGGAGCCGGAATATGACGTCATTCCGGTCCCGCATCACTAAACAGTGCGAGGGAGCAGGAAGATCATGAAAGCCTGTACCCCAGGGAGAGGACCCAGAGTTCTCCTAAAGGTAGGAGCAACAAGCAATAAAATTAATTTGTGAGTGTTTGTCTGTCAGTGAGTGTGGGTCAGTAAGTGTGTGTGTATCTTTCAGTGAGTGTGTGTCTGTCAGTGTGTGTGTGTGTGTGTGTGTGTGTGGGTGTGTCTGTCAGTGAGTGTGCATGTATATCAGTAAGTGTGTGTGTGTGTGTGTGTCTGGAAGTGAGTGTGTGTGTCTGTCAGGGCCGTCTTTCCACATGGGTACGCTGGGCAGTTGCCTCACCGTGCTGCCAAGCATGCCCGGCCAACAGGGAAGATCCTTTGATCTTCCCTGCCGGCCAATGGAGAGTGGCCTTGTTTTTTGGTGTGGGTCCCCTTGGGCCAGTGAGGGAGACCTCCTTTTGATCAGGGAGAGAGGGAGCTAGGACCCAGGGCTGCATTCTGTGCGCAGGAGGACAGGAGACAGCCTGCAGCCAGAAAAACTGGAGGCTGTACAGTACTAACAACTGGACCACCACGGCTGGCTATGCCCCCCCCTCACCAAAAGTAAGAAGAAGGGTGGGGGAGGGGCAAAGAGATTTTATTTAATGTATAGTAGTATTAAAAAAACAAAAAACATTTGCTACCTGCACCCCTTAAACTCTGCAACACACGTACATAGAACTCCACACACGCACAGCACCCCACTTACACAGCACTCCACACACACAACACCACACACTCACATAGCACTCCACACACACAGCACCCCACACTCGCATAGCACTCCACACACACGCAACACCCCACTCTCACACACACACTGCACCCGTACACACATACACTGAACCCCTCACTGCAGTATGTGTGTATTAACCAGTCTATTTAGTAGTCTCTGTATGTGTATTTAGCAGTGTGTGTTCATTTAGCAGTCTGTATGTATTCAGCAGTCTGTGTGTGGTTGTATTCAGCGGACTGTGTGTATGTATTTAGCACTCTCTATGTTTACTCAGCAGTCTGTCTGTGTGTGCTCACTGCTTGGGGGCCCATAATGTTGTTAAGATGGCACTGGTGTCTGTCAGTTAGTGTGTGTCTGTCAGTGAGTGTGTGTATAAGTGCATGTGTCTATTAATAAGTGTGTCATTGAGTGTGTATCTGTCAGTGTTTGTGTGTCTGTCAGTGTGTGTCAGCAAGTGTGTCTGTCAAGTAAGTGGTTGTCAGTCACTGAATGTGTGTGCCTGCCTGTCAGTGAGTGTGTGTCTGTCAGGGTTTGTGTGTGTGTGTTACTGAGAGTGAGTGCCAGTATGTCAGTATGGAGAGGGGGAGAGGAAGGGAATTGGAGAGGGGGGGAGAAGAAGGAAATTGGAGAGGGGGAGAAGCAAATTGGAGGGGGGAGAAGGAAATTGGAGGGGGGAGAAGCGGAGAGGGGGGAGAAGAAGGAAATTGAGGGGGAGAAGAAGGAAACTGGAGAAGGGGGGAGAAGGAAATTGGAGGGGGGGAGAAGAAGGAAATTGGAGGAGGGAAAAGAAGGAAACTGGAGAGGGGGGAGAAGGAAATTGGAGAGAGGGGAGAAAAAGGAAATTGGAGAGGGGGGATAAGAAGGAAATTGGAGGGGGGAGAAGGTAATTGGAGAGGGGGGGGAGAAGGAAATTGGAGGGGAGGAGGAAATTGACGGGGGCGGGGGAGATTGACATCCATCACACACACTCAATCACACACAATGCACCCCTTGCACACAGAAAAACACACAATGCATTACACACACAGACACACATACACCAGCAATGCATCCCTTACACACACAGCAACACACAATGCATTCATTACACACACTCAATGCATCCCATACATACTCAAACTCACCTTGCAGCCCTTACACATACAAACACAGATTCACACAATGCATTCCTTACACACATCAGGACATCCCCTACACACTCCACCCCCTGTGAACAAACTCATTTGTGGAACATGAAGGTGGACCCTGGGACCCAGACCTTGAGCTGTGTAAACGACCCCAAAAAATGGAGCTGCTTCCTGTTCTCCCAGAACATACATTTTTGTGACCACAGTTACAAACTGCCTCCAGAGAGCCTGTTCTACACCAGACCAGTGGAGCCAGACTGCAGCTAGAACCCATCATCATCCTCATCTGGTTGTAAGTAGGCAATCTAGTATATTATTTGTGGCACTAATCTCTAATTTACCTCACATTAAAGAAACACTATAGTCCCCAGAACCACTGCAGCTTAATGTAGTGGTTCTGGTGTTTATAGCCTGTCCCTGCAGGCCTTTTAATGTAAACACGGCGGCACTGCAGCACTGGCGTTAGTTAACATGGCAGATCATATGGGTGGGGCATTGTGATGTCACATGGGGGGGAGGCAAACTTTACTGTTGCCGGCCCTGTACACCAGCATATTCCATGATGGTCCACTGGTGCGCACCAGCAGTAGGTGCAGTCAGATCATATCCTCTCCCTTGTGGTTCTGGTGCTCAGTTAGTGAGTCAGAGCACAGGCCCAGAGATTTTCAGCCTGCGCTCTGACAACATTGAAAGTCGGAGTCGCCAAGGAGTGGGTATGGCAAAGAGCAATTGATTAGCATAATATCAATATCCGTTATAAAACCAGGAAAAGGTGGGCATGGAAGGTGGGCACTGATTTAGTGGTGCAATGGGCCACTTGACTGGATTTGCCCCCCAGTCCTGAGGCTGCAAGCCCTCCCCTGCCCCCCCTCCCTCTCATATCACCCCCTCTCCCTCTCACATCACCCCCCTCTCCCTGTCAACATCAGCCCCCTCACCATCAACATCATCCCTCCCTCAACTCTTCCTCTCACCATCACCCCCCCTCCCTCTTATCATCATAACTCCCCCTCCCCCATACACACAACACACTTCAGGCAGCTACCCCATACACATAGGGTCCCAGACAAAAACGCAAACATGCTCACAGAGACATACATTCTCACACACACACACACACACACACACATCAACCCCCTCCCTCAACATCAACTCTTCCTCTCACCATCACCCCCCTCCCTCTTATCATCATAAGCCCCCCTCCCCCCATACACACAACACACTTCAGGCAGCTTCCCAGACAAAAACGCAAACACACACACACACACACACACACACACTCTCTCTCTCTCTCTCTCAGGCATATACACAGGTAAACTGTGCATCAATGTGTATATATGACATTGTGGATGTATTGCAACTCTATTTTTGTTCCACTTTTTTGTTAGTGGGGCCTCATGTTTGAGTTTCGCCTAAGGCCTCATAAAATCTAGAGCCGCCTCTGATGAGAGGAATTCATTTTATTTTGAATTAAATTTTAGTTTAATAATTTCCACTTTCAATTCAATAAAATAACCCCTTATAACTGATTTAAATGTGCACCAATTATTGGTCCATGATGTATCTTCTGGTTTAACTGGTTTCAAATAAATTTATAATCCATTCAGCCACTATTTCTGTGCTTTTTTGATTTTTTTAACAGAACATCATTTAATTTTCAGGTCGATCTTTTGCCTTTTCCATCCTTCAATTCCCAATATACTATATTGTGATCCGACCATGTATTATCCTTAATCCAGGTTTTACTAATTTTCCTTAATACAGAATTCTCCCCTAGGAACATATCTATCCTAGAGTAATAAAGGTGAACATGAGAAAGATGGGTATTATTATTATTATTATTATTATTACCATTTATATAGCGCCAACAGATTCCGTAGAGCTTTACAATATTTTGAGAGGGGGATGTAACAATTACAAGAAAACTTACAGGAACAATAGGTTGAAGAGGACCCTGCTCAAACGAGCTTACAGACTAAAGGAGGTGGGGTATTATAAACATTAGGACAGGAAATATCAAGTAGGAGTGAAGCAGAGCTGGAGGAGAGAGCAAAGCACTGTCCCATAGGAGAGAGAAGGAGACAGGTATGTAAGGTAGAGATTACTCTGGGAGGCCATAAGCTTTCCTGAAGAGATGGGTTTTAAGGCCCTTCTTAAATGATTGAAGACTAGGGGAGAGTCTGATGGCAGTAGGCAAGCTATCCCATAGGAGTGGAGCCACCCGCGAGAGGTCCTGCAAGCGCGAGTTGGCCGTACGGGTGCGAGCAGCGGTCAGGAGGTGGTCAAGGGCAGAGCGGAGGGTACGAGGAGGGGCATATCTATGGATTAGTGAAGAGATATAAGAGGGGCTAGAATTGTTCAGTGCTTTAAATGTATGGGTTAGCACTTTGAATTGACTCCTATAGCATACAGGGAGCCAATGTAAGGACTGGCAGAGGGGTGAGGTGTGAGAGGACCGACTAGAGAGGAAAATCAGTCTAGCTGCAGCATTCATTACAGACTGTAGCGGGGCAATACGGCTTTTGGGGAGACCAATCAGGAGAGGGTTACAGTAATCCATGCGGTAAATTACTAGAGCATGGACAAGCTCCTTGGTAGCATCTTGCGTAAGAAAGGGGCAAATGCAGGCTATGTTTTTGAGTTGGAACCTACAGGACTTGACAACAAACTGGATGTGAGACTCAAATGTGAGACCAGAGTCAAGTATGACGCCAATACAGCGTGCTTGCAGGTATGGACTTATGTGGATATCACTGACTTGAAGGGAGAGCGAGAGAGGAGGAGTTCAGTTCAGTTTTAGAGAGGTTAAGTTTCAGAAAGCGTGAGGACATCCAGTCAGAGATGGAAGAAAGGCAAGCAGTGACACGTTGCAGGACGGCAGGGGAGAGGTCCGGGGAGGAGAGGTATATCTGAGTGTCATCAGCGTACAGGTGGTAGTGGAATCCAAAAGAGGCAATACGTTTACCAAGAGAGGCAGTATAAAGAGAAAATAGAAGGGGACCAAGGACAGACCCTTGGGGAACTCCTTGGAAAAGGAGACACTGAATGAGCGTTAGGAGAGATAGGAGGAAAACTAAGAGAGGACAGAGTCACAGAGACCGAGCGATTGAAGAGTTTGAAGGAGGAGAGCATGATCAACGGTTTCAAAGGCAGCAGAGAGGTCAAGGAGAATTAATATGGAGTAGTGACCTTTGGATTTAGCGGAGATTAGGTCATTAGTCACTTTGATAAGAGCAGTCTCAGTAGAGTGGAGAGGGCGGAAGCCAGACTGAAGAGGGTCAAGGAGAGAGTTGGAATTAAGGAAGCGGGACACACGGATAAAGACAAGTCTTTCCAAAAGCTTTGATGAGAAAGGGAGCAGGGATATGGGACGATAGTTAGAAGGGGAGGATGGGTCAAGAGATGTTTTTTTCAAGGTAGGTATTACAGTGGCATGTTTAAGGTCAGCAGGAACAGTGCCAGAAGAGAGGGAGCAGCTAAATATGTGTGTTAGGGTAGGCACAAGACAAGGGGAGAGAGGTCTGATGAGGTGAGATGGGACAGGATCGAGTGGGCAAGTGGTGGGGCGAGAGGAATGGAGAAGCGCAGCCACCTCTTGTTCAGTAGCCGGGTAGAAAGTCTGGAGGGTAGGGAAAGCATGATTTACATGTGGTTGAGAAAGAGAACGGCAAGGAGGGGAGAATTGTTTCCTTAGCTGTTCAATCTTGTCGGTAAAGTAGCATGCAAAGCTATCAGTGGTAAGCTTAGTTTGGGGGGTGGCCACAGCAGGGCGGAGAAGGGAATAAAAGGTGTCAAAGAGACGTCTGGGATTGCGGGAGCATGAACTAATGAGAGAGGAAAAGTATGACTGTTTGGCGAGGGCGAGGGCTGCGCTGTATGAAAGCAACATGAATCTATAATGGAGAAAGTCTGCCTGGGTGCGGGACTTCCTCCAGGAGCGTTCAGCTCAACGGGAGCAACTCTGCAGATAGCGTGTTGATTTATTATGCCAAGGTTGGGGTCGTGTCCTCCTCGAGGTGCATGTTTGGAGTGGAGCTGCAGTGTTCAACGCAGATGTGAGGGTAGTGTTATAGGTGGAGATGGCCAGTGAGGGACAGGAGAGGGAAGGGACGGATAGCAGTTGTGAATCAATGTCAGCTGACAGCTGCTGGAGGTCAATAGAGTTAAGGTTCCTCCTGAGCTGAGGGGGGTTAGGCTGAGATTGTTGGGTGAGGGGGTAATTGAGAGCAAACGATAAGAGATATTCAGTATCTGTTGACTGAGTTATTCTCCATAGGTCTAAAAGATTATATTTACAAATCGTTCTATTTAAATTTTCTGCTTGTTTAATTGCTCTTGGATCTAGCTTTTTATTTGATAGAATTTTTTTATCTTCATAAGCATCCATTACACAATTAAAATCTCCATCTATGATACAAACGTCATTCTAAGTGCATTTTAATATTAATATATTAATTTTAAAATACACTTAGAATAATATTTTTTTTAAGTGTATGTGCATATAAAAGTACTTAGATCGTATATATATATAAACATATATATATATTTTTTTTTAATGTCCACATATATTTATTTTTACAAACTTTAAAATTCCAGATTAATCTAGGTAACTTAATGTAGTACAAAAATAACTCTATATTATATAAGAAAATCAAAATATCTGGTGTTTAACCTTGAATCGGTAAAAGGCTTTTTAAAAAAATGTTTTATTTTTGCAATGCAAAAACTTATTACAAACAAGCTTGAAGTACCCCAGCGGCATTCCTCAAGCACAGTATCATACGTTACAATTGGGGTGTTAGAAAGTAAGTATAATGTTAAACAAGTTCACCATATCTGTTTGTTAGGAGGGAAATAATTACTTCACCATTTGTGTAGCTATGCTGTAGAAAGCAGGATGATTAATATATCAGGAGTCTGCTCAGAGTGTGTATCCTGACATTGTGTGGAATGCCCTTATGTGTTAAAAGGATAAAGCTTAAGTTTTTAAGTGTAGGTACTGCTATATCCTCATTCTAACAGTCGAAATAGTCATGTCTAGGCATAGAATTAAGCAGATTAATAATTAGTCTGCCATAAAATTACAAATGCTGTCTAGTGCCTATAGTGAGAGCTAGCATATAACATATGAAGATACAAATAACGTAATAAACAAAAGTAGCTTAAACGATAAAATGATAAAAACCACAGAGGTCCATTAGGAAGGACAACGCTGCCCCTGGTGTGGGCACTCAGGCAAACCAACTGGGTTTTCTGATTATGACTCCCTCCTGTTTACTACTAAGTTGTAATGCTTGTGAAATCCAGACACACAGGCAGGTCTGGTAAGTGCCACTCCGCTGGCCCCAGACACTGCATGAGCGTACTACATGTGCCCCCAATTCTGGCTCGTCGATTGGCCAGCAACAGAGATCCCGGCTTTGGTGTTTCTCCTAGAAGTGAGGCTGTGGTGCGAGGGGTGTCCTCAGGCAGTAGTAGAGACCAGTCCTGTTTACCATGCACGGAAGCTGGGCCATTCAAAATGTTCCCGCTGGTCTTTGGTGCAGGAGTGGGAGCTGTGGGGACCGGGATAACCCCCGCCGGTCCAAAGGTGGGGTGAGCGGGGCCAGGCAGGAATCAAGTAAGTCATAATGTAGCATTAGCCAGGGTGAAAAGCGTGGCAGTGGCCATCCGCAACACTCCCCTCCCGGGTAGGCCTCAATCGTCAAGTCCCAGAATCTCTCACCAGGACCCAGAATCAACCGATATCAGGCGCTCCAGCTGCACCGGGACATTGACTTCCATATAAAATTGACTTCCAGGGTGTTACAAGCTTTGGAAAACAGGTATGTAGCCGTAAATAGCCATTTTCCTCAGGAGCTATAGTGACTTGCAGCCTGCTCAGGGCCGTCTTTAACGCGGGGCAAACGGGGCAGCTGCCCCGGGCCCAGTTGCTCCTGGGGGCCCAGAGCAGCTGCTCTGTGGGCCCCGCGATTTGCGCAGCCCCTATGGACCGGGCGGTGCGGCTCCCGCACACTGAGGAGGCTCCCCGGGTGGCCCATGCACTAAGGGCCACCCGGGGAGCATGTGTCAGCAGGGGCCCGGTCGGGCGCTGTGGCGCTTAAACAGCGCGACCGGGCCCCTCTTCCGGTTCTGCAGCCGGCTGGGAGGAAGTGACGTCACTTCCTCCCACCGGAGATAGCCGCGCGGGAGGAGGAAGGCAGGGAGGAGGGGAGTTCCAGAGGAGAACTCCCATCTGCCTCAGCCTGCCACTGGACCAGGGAAACCACCCTCCAGGAAAAGGTAAGAACCTGGAGGGTGGCTAAATGTATGTCAGTAGGTCTGTGTGTGTGTGTGTGTATGTGTGTGTGTATGTCTGTGTGTATGCCAGTATGTCTGTGTGTGTATGTCTGTGTCTGTGTCAGTATGTCTGTGTGTATGCCAGTATGTCTGTGTGTGTGTGTATGTAGGTATGTCTCTGTGTGTGTGTGTACGTGTGTGTCAGTATGTCTGCCAGGATATATTTGTGTGTCAGTGTATGTGTGTGTCAGTATGTATCTGTGAATGTTTTAATGTCTGTCTGTGTGTATGTGCCAGTACGTCTGTCTGTGTGTATGTCAGTATGTCTGTATGTCTTTGTGTGTCAGTATGTCTGTGTGTGTATGTAAGTATGTCTGTGTGTGTATGTGTGTGTCAGTCAGTATGTCTGTCAGTGTATGTGTCTGTGTGTGTGTGTGTGTCAGTATGTCTGCCAGGATATATTTGTATGTCAGTGTATGTGTGTGTCAGTATATATCTGTGAATGTTTTAATGTCTGTCTGTATCAGCCATTACGTCTGTCTGTGTATATGTCAGTATGCCTGTGTGTGTGTGTCAATGTGTCTGTCAGTGTATGTGTCTGTGTGTTTTAGTATATCTGTCAGTGTATGTGTTTGTGTGTGTGTCAGTATATCTGTTAATGTATGTGTCTGTGTATGTATGTATGTATGTCTGTGTGTGTGTCAGTATGTCTGCCAGTATATATTTGTGTGTAGTGACTGTGTGTGTCAGTATGTATCTGTGAATGTTTTAATGTCTGTCAGTGTGATTGCGGGTTGGACGTAATTGGGGGGTGAGGCAGTGGCAGGGACAGGGCCCAAGAAAATGCATTGCCCAGGGTCCTAATCATATTATAGACGGCCCTGAGCCTGCTAGCATGGCAGCCCAGCCCTGCCCCCTTTATACATATATAGGACCGCGACTGCCGTCAGGGGAGCAGCAGGGACCCTGTGAGTACAAAGGACAGCGTTTAGAGACACCCCAAAAAGGACGGCATAGAACGCTCACCATCCTTAAGAGGTTAATCATCTAAAACAAATATTTAAATATCCATATTATTAGGAAGAAGGTGCAACTGACACACTTACAAGAGTCTCTACAGAGACTGAGTGATAGTGGCTCCTGTTCCATACTTCTCTTGTTACTTTTCTCTCTCAGAAATGAATTATGATGTAGAAGAGTGAGAATTACACTTGTAAGAAGGTTCTTCCCACGCATATGCACTAACCTCCTAATACTTTCCTACAGGAAAGCATTGGATTAGCTGAGATCATTGATCTCAATGATTTCAGCCAAAGAGTCAGAGCTTCAGCAAGTAGGTGATTGGTCTTGCTCTGTTAGGCTATGAGCTTTTCAGTTTCTAGTTTAGCCCATCTAATTGCCTTTTTGCAAGCCCTACTGGAATGCTTAAATTTGTTATAGGATACTATAGAGCCCTCTGATTTTAATGTTTCAAATGCACTTTTCTTATCGTTTATTATTTGACTGACTTTTACTAAGCCATATTGGTTTTAATCTGCTTCTTTTATATTTGTTTCTCAAAGGTACATATAGAGAAATGCATTTTTATAGAAAGACCTTCCATTTATCTTCTGAGCTTTTGCCAGTGAATAGTTCCTGATAGTGAATTTGTTTTAAAGATACCCATATCTAATTGAAATTGGCCTTTTTAAAATAAGGACATTTTTGTACAATTTATTTTTTATTAGTCAGAAATGATGCCATATTATGGTCCATAATGTTTGAAAATAGGTCAACCCATGCCAATAATTATACCAAAAAGACTTCCACATTCTCACCTGTATCATCAAATAACGTTTATTTAACACTTGACTTACATAGATACATAGATGAAAAGAGACTTGCATCTATCAAGTTCAGCCTTCCGCACATTTGTTTTTTTGCTGTTGATCCAGAAGAAGGCAAAAAAACCCAGTTTGAAACACTTCCAATTTTGCAACAAACTCCTTCTTGACCTCAGAATGGCAGTCAGATTAATCCTTGGATCAACAAGCTATTATTGAATCCTTGAATATTCAGTTTTTGCAAGTATGCATCTAGTTGCTGTTTGAACATCTGTATGGACTCTGATAAAACCCTTTTGAGGTAGAGAATGGCACATCCTTATTTTTCTTACAGTAAAAAAAAACAAACAACTTTTTATTTGCCTTAGATGAAATCTCTTTTCTTCCAGCCTAAATGCGTGACCTTGTGTCCTATGTAAAGTCCGGTTTGTGAATAGATTTCCACACAATGGTTTGTATTGGCCCCGTATATATTTGTATAATGTTATCATATCCCCTCTGAGGCGACGTTTTTCTAAACTAAAGAGGTTTAAATTTGTTAACCTTTCTTCCTAGCTTATATGTTCCATTCCTTTTATTAATTTTGTAGCCGCCTCTGCACGTTTGCCAATGCCATAATATCCATCTTTAGAACAGGTGCCCAGCATATTCAATATGTGGTCTAACCAGTGATTTATAAAGAGACAAAATGATATTCTCATCCTGAGAATGAATGCCCTTTTTCATGCATGGCAGTACCTTACTGGTCTTAGCCACTGCTGATTGACATTGCACATTGTTGCATAGTTTGTTGTCTCTAACAATTCCCAAGTGCTTTTCGTGTGTTATCCCTAATTCGCTTCCATTGCTTGCGCATTCTTAACCCCGAAGTGCATAACTTTGCATTTTTCAAAAAATAAATTTCATCTGCCATTTGAGTGCCCAATCCCCCAGTCTATCAAAATCCCTCAGCAGCAAAGTAATATTTTGCTCACATTGTATTACTTTACAGAGTTCTGTGTCATCTGCAAACACTGAAACAGCATGACTTATTTATTTATTTTTAATTCTTTATTTTTCTGTGCATGAAGAATTACAAGCATATGCTTGTAAGCTGGCAGCTAGTGCCCTAGGTCTTCTTGGGTTTGGTGTGAGGCTGGTGCTTTAATGCCCCAAGCTAGCGTTGCTTGAATAAACCCTGTAACCCCGGGTGTGTAGGGGAGAAGGGGGGGAGTCTAAGGGAGCCACAGAACGTTTGGAATGGAGGTGTTGTGAGTGGCTAGTATCAGTGTGGGTGCCCTATAACAAAAAGCCCTGAAAATATCAACAACTTTGAAAACATCTTAACATGTATATAAGTTCAGTCAGTGGGAGGAATGGTTCTGCTGAGAACCTGTGATCTGGTAGCAGGTTGGTATTGTGGCTGCATCAGGTTTTGGCCGCTGTGTTAGCCGCTGTCTCGGCCCATCTGGGGACGAACGGGACCACTTTTGCAGGGTTCCAGGTGGATGAGTGTGCTGGTGTGATGTTTGTCTCTGCGAGGGTCATGGAGACTATGGGAAGTCCCAGGGTAGGCAACAGTTCTTTTGCCCCCTGTATGTCCCGGATGTTGGAGGCAGTGTGCACGAACCTCTCCAGTTGTATTAGACATTGTGCTGGCATAGGAGAGCCTATTCTCTCTATAGGCACTTGCCTGGTTTGCTTGGGAGGTAGGAGTGCCTGCAGGAGTCTCCATAGTACATGTGGTAGCTCGGTCTCCGGTATTTCCTCTCCAATACCCCGGATTTTGATGTTCAGGCTGTGCCTTTGATCCTCCAGTGCCGCAATGCGTTGCTCATAGGTAAGGTGCTCTTGTTTCAGCTCTTGCACAGCTTGCTGCAGGAGTTGTGATTGTTGCATGTTTTGACGTGAGTCAACCTCCAGTGTGCCCAGGCGACCAGTCAGACCCTGCAGGTCCTTGCGCAGTTGGGCCATGTGGGCCTGTATTGTGAGTTGGAGCCCTACTAGTAGTTCCTTCATGACAGCAGTGGTCACCGGAGAGGGGTCCGGTCGCGGAGGAGTCTGGAGAGGCGCTATCCCAGCAGGTGAGTACTCCGCTTCCACCTCAGTTGTGAAGTCGTCGGAGACATCAGAGCGGCCAAATCAGCTAACCCAAGCTTATAATGCACAAAAAAACGACCTGGCTCAAGCAAGATTATGCCACCAAGCAGCACGGGAACATGAGCATTTACGGAGCCAACCGTCCCAACACAATTTCCAGCTGTCCTGTCGCGAGGCCTAACAATATTGACGACCTGCGGGTCATTATAGGCGGCCATGTTTGGGCCCTGGGCACTTGTTTCCAGAGGTTGCCGATGCTTAGGTTTTGCCACGGATTATCGGGCTTGGGCTTTTTGGTTTTTCGGCCCATGTCGGTGTCAGCAGTCCGCGGGTCAGTTTGGTGCCGGTTTCGTTGGGGCTGTGTTTGCGGGCCCAGATTGCTTGTTTTTTTGCGGAGCTCGTGTGGCGTGTGGCCATTCAGGTCAGTTGCTTGGCTCCGCCCCCCAAAAGAACATGACTTTTTTTTTTTATTCTTTATTTTCTTAGTGCATGGATTAACATACAGGCTTGTGATGCCATGACAGCATGACAAGTATGTAACGGAGCTCCTTGTACTCCGACTGAGTACCCTCCGTTGACGGATGCTCCTAGCGCTTCCTGAGGACTCCAAGCACTGCAGCAGACACCACAACCACCGCAGACTCCGCAACCGCCGTATCTTGACTGGAGTCTCGCCGTCTTCCTTCCACCCTGGATCAGCTTCTGTCCTCCAGGACTGTGTGGGAAAGAACTCTTCCTTCCACCCTGTATGAAACTCCAGCATCCAGGACTGTGTGGTGAAGACCCCTTCTCCAAGGAGAGCGTGTCAGGAACAAGCTCTTAAAAGAGCTAAGTGACTCAAGCTCAGGGGAGCATACCAATCCCCAGTGTGATTATAACAGCTCCCTCCAATAACGAGACAAGGCTACATTTAGAGGGATCAAGAAGAACTGTCAAAACCTTTATTTCCCTTGGGACCAGCCAATACGGTCACCACAATAACATTGTTGTGAAACCTCAATAAAATCACAAACAGTCAAAACACATCAAGCAACACACAGTGACTTATCACAACACAATGGTACATTTTTAAAGGGGTGGGGGGAGACAATATTTAACATTAAATATCTCACCTGCCTGCAGAATTAGCAATATGCAAATCTACCCGAATATGCAAATGAACCAGTCTTGCAATTCAGGTAGTGCATATTGCTGTTGCTACCAACAGAGGGCACTAGACCAGCTCCATAGCCAAACCCACCTAGTTGGTAGCAAACCTCAGCAATACAAGAGAGCAGGCAATACATTACACAGTATACACACACACTATAAACAATTACATTACACACACCCTGCACCTATAATGGGTACAGGGTGACTAAAACATAATATAAATAATGCAGCCTACATAAATAGTCTGTCTGAAGGTAGAATAGGGGCTTTAAAGGCAAATACATCAAAGAGTCATAGTCACAGGGGAGGAGGCTGGCAAGCAGGCCTCTCCAGTACCAAGTGGCGAAGGGCACTTCGTCACATATCTCCCCTTCGGGGGGAAGACTAACCAGGCACCTGACTTTCTGTCGGTCAGTGCCTAAGTTAGTCGAGTCACCCACCGACCATAAGCAAGTGCCAGAGTAGCCCACCCACAACAAACAGTTATTAGAGCAGCCCACCCACAGCAAACAGTGACTGCACCTGGGTATTCCTCTGGGGTGATGGGGCAACACGCTGTGGGGACTTGAGGGGCAGAGGCCAGCGGCGCTCTGCCCTGATGCCAGCGCTTCTGCTGGGAGGAGGGGGGTGCAGGCCAGTCCTGTGACAAGGGGATCGGTAGGGCAGAGGCCAGCGGCGGTCTGCCCTGATGCCAGCTCTTCTGCTGGTATAGCCTGCAGGACATCAGGCTCTGGACAAGGGACAAAGGGAGGGCAGAGGCCGACTGCACTCTGCCCAGCTGCCAGCTCTTCCGCTGGGGGGCTTGGGACATAGTCCGGCTCAGTAGCCAGGGGAACGTGGGGGTCAGTGGGGGTTAACATCTCCCCTGTTAACCCTGGGGCCAAGTTAGGAGTTAGCTGGGGAGGGGAATTCGTACTTACCCCCTCCTCCTGTTGTCCCTGTGAGGGTAGTTGGGGATCTGGACAGGCTGTCCAGCATCCCTGTAGGTCGGGCACAGAGGCCACGGTCCCCTCTGCGCCATCTGGGAGATTGGTGTCTCCCCTTGGTAGGGTAAGCTGCCACTGGGGAGATAGGGTGCTGTGCTCCTCTCCCTGAAACACAGGCTGCCGCTGGAGAGGGAGACCGCCTGTCTCCACTCCCATAATATTGTCCTGCTGCTGGAGAGAGAGACCAACTGTCTCTGCTCCCTGTAGGACACACTCCTGCTGGGGAGGAAGGACGACACCTTCGGCTCCCTGGAATTCGCACTGCCGCTGGGGAGGAAGGATGACACCTTCGGCTCCCTGTAACTTGCACTGCCGCTGGGGAGTTAGGACGACACCTTCGGCTCCCTGTAACTTGCACTGCCGCTGGGGAGGAAGGACGACACCTTCGGCTCCCTGTAACTTGCACTGCCGCTGGGGAGGAAGGACGACACCTTCGGCTCCCTGTAACTTGCACTGCCGCTGGAGACTAGGTGTCCATATCCTCAACCTCCACAGTTGTCTCTCAAAGGCCATTGCCGCACTGTTCACAGCACTCAACTGGCGCATTACTTGGTGGACCACCTCGTTCGAAAGGTCTGGGCCATAGCAGACCAACCGCCTCTTTACCTCCTCAATGTAAGCGTCGTCCTCGTAGCGACGTATCATGTTGAGGTGCTCTTCGCAGGGCTCTATCCATCCCTGCTCCATGCTGCTGTAGTTAGGGACGCTGCACAGTGGCTAGCGTTGCCCTCAATAACCTCTCATACGATACCAGTGTCTCCGAGCTGCTTCTCCTCGCACTAGGACGCCATCCCACCGCTGCCACCAATGTAACGGAGCTCCTTGTACTCCGACTGAGTACCCTCCGTTGACGGATGCTCCTAGCGCTTCCTGAGGACTCCAAGCACTGCAGCAGACACCACAACCACCGCAGACTCCGCAACCGCCGTATCTTGACTGGAGTCTCGCCGTCTTCCTTCCACCCTGGATCAGCTTCTGTCCTCCAGGACTGTGTGGGAAGACCTCTCCTCCAAGGAGAGCGTGTCAGGAACAAGCTCTTAAAAGAGCTAAGTGACTCAAGCTCAGGGGAGCATGCAGAGCATAGCAATCCCCAGTGTGATTATAACAGCTCCCTCCAATAACGAGACAAGGCTACGTTTAGAGGGATCAAGAAGAACTGTCAAAACCTTTATTCCCTTGGGACCAGCCAATACAGTCACCACAATAACATTGTTGTGAAACCTCAATAAAATCACAAACAGTCAAAACACATCAAGCAACACACAGTGACTTATCACAACACAATGGTACATTTTTAAAGGGGTGGGGGGAGACAATATTTAACATTAAATATCTCACCTGCCTGCAGAATTAGCAATATGCAAATCTACCCGAATATGGAAATGAACCAGTCTTGCAATTCAGGTAGTGCATATTGCTGTTGCTACCAACAGAGGGCACTAGACCAGCTCCATAGCCAAACCCACCTAGTTGGTAGCAAACCTCAGCAATACAAGAGAGCAGGCAATACATTACACAGTATACACACACACTATAAACAATTACATTACACACACCCTGCACCTATAATGGGTACAGGGTGACTAAAACATAATATAAATAATGCAGCCTACATAAATAGTCTGTCTGAAGGTAGAATAGGGGCTTTAAAGGCAAATACATCAAAGAGTCATAGTCACAGGGGAGGAGGCTGGCAAGCAGGCCTCTCCAGTACCAAGTGGTGAAGGGCACTTCGTCACAAAGTATATTGCAGGGTCACAGGTAATTACAGTGTCATGGCTAGTTAAGAACTGCACATTTTTTATGGTTTAATTAAACAGGCTGAAACATAGGTCTGTGCTTAGGACTGGCGAAAACAGTGGATGAGAAACAGTGGATGTACTAGCCTATGATAAACAAGCTCGATCATTTGTATAAGATACTGACATTTGACTAGGAACAAGCTCTAGTGTAGGCTAATCTGAGGGTCCAAGCACAGGACCTAAAAAGTTACATAAGTAAATAACACATTGCTAGCAATTAAGGGTGTCAACTATACTGTAGCTGTTTTACATCATTTAAACACTACGATGAACAGGATAGGTAAACTAGTAACATGGCTCATTATGATACTGAGAATAATCATACATTGGGTAACAAAGGTATTAAGCTGTAGTTAGAGTTAATTCTGCTTTGTGACCACTGGGTACTGATTGCACTGTAAAAGCTCTTAGGGAACAGATAATTTAATGTCTCTGCAAGAGAACTGGTGTACATTACGTGCTGTCGGTTTATCCTACCCCACGTATGGGCCATCGGAGTTTGGCAGGCTGCATGGTCAGTAGGGTAATGTTGTTCATCCCTGTGGAGGGCTGTGTGTTGGGCCAGGCTCCCTGCCTGTGGCTCGTGGTAGGTGAGCTGCGCCGGGGCTTTCCCGTCTCTTGCCGCTTGTCTGGGAGCATTCCGTTTCAGTTTGGCTGGGTCACGAGTGTGTGGGCGCTTTACACGTCAGGGGATCTTCCGAGGGCTTGGACGGCTTATTTGCTGTTCCGCCAGGCGAGCTCCCTGCTCAGTGCCGGTTTCCAGTCCGGCATATGTTTTCTCTGGGTCTGCTGCCCATATGGGTGTCGGCTTTCGATGCGGTGCCAGAATGCTTGGCATATTCGTTCAAACCGGGCTTCAAAATCTTCCCGCAAGGACTGAATGTCTACTCCCTCTGTGACTTGTAGAGGCTGCGGCTTGTCGACCATCTTGTGCTCGCCATGCAGTCCCCCGGTGTGGTTGACCCCGTTTGCCGGGGGGTGATTTTCCCCAGTGGGGACCGGGATAACTGGGTGGGGTGTGACCGGGCTTCTATGTTTTCAGTTGTTGCTGAGCGTCCCGGGTCAGGAGATCAACCGCCTCCCCCGGCCCGCAGGTCGTCAATATTGTTAGGCCTCGCGACAGGACAGCTGGAAATTGTGTTGGGACAGCTGGCTGCGTAAGTGCTCATGTTCCCGAGCTGCTTGGTGGCATAATCTTACTTGAGCCAGGTCGTTTTTTTGTGCATTATAAGCTTGGGTTAGCTGATTTTCAGCCCTGCTTTGTAGGTGCTGAGCTGAAACACGTCCTGCCATCTTGGCTGTCAGGCCCCACCCCCCCACAACATGACTTTTAATGCTTTTTTTCAAGACTTCAATTTGAGTTTAATATAAAGACATACTCCCCCCCCCTCTCTAATTTGTCTGTCCTTCCTAAATAATGTATATTCATTTAAATTAATAGCACAATAAAGTATTTCATCCCACCTAGTCTCAGTAATCACAATTATGTCATACTGCTCCTTGGAGAGCTCACCT